CCCCTCCTACTACCCTCATCTCTCCCTGCCCTCCAACTCTGCCATTTACCTTTGCTCTGGCAGGCTCCAGTCCTGCTCCAGCCTGCAGTATTGAGCATGTTTTTGCTCTAGCCCTAGACTGGCCCCATAGTGTCTGTGGTGATGACAGCTTGGAGTCAGGGCTAGAGCCAGGCTATTGTTGCTGCTAGGCTCTGAGCTGGGCCTGGAGCAAACAGGCTCTGTGCCTCAGGCTGGACTAGGGCTGGAGAATGGGTAAGCCATGGGGGGGAGGAGGGAGGTGGAGGTAGATGAGGGAGAATGGGGGATTCAAGACTTCGGGGGGCAGACAAGTGGTGGGGGTTGGACAGGCAGCAGGGGACAAGGTGTTAGGGGGTTAAGGGACAGGTCCAACTGTTTGCTTATGTATTTATTTCCATCCTCACCCCTACTGCCTGTCCTCCTGCCACTGCTTCTCTTGCTGTAGCAGTGAAGAGGGATGGGGGGAGTTCAAATTTAAGATAATCCTCCAATAATTAGATTCTATACATAGAAAATTAAAAAAAAAATTAGAATGTTTTGTGTATAGAATTAATTATTGGGAGGTTCATCTTAAATTTGGGGTCAGCTTAAATTTGGGTAAATATTGTGATTTGTATACTCCAAATACTTATTCTCAAGTCCACAGGACAGAGAACAGGTATGACAAGCTTACAATTATATTGCTTGTTATCTTTTTACTTTTTCAATGAAAGGGTTGTGGTTAGCTTTGTTTCATATGAACAGCTACTTGCAATTTTTCAATTTTTTTTTGAACACACATTTGTAAAGATTTTAAGACTTTTGGCAGAACTGTGAAAATAGACTTAATTCTGAAAGGCAAATAGTTCATATTAAGGAACTTGTGGATTTCTTTTTGAATTATAAACTGATTTGTGTGTTCATGGGTCTCTGAACAGACATTGTAAACTCTGTACAAGAAAGATACCAAGGTTAGGCAGAATATTTAGCATACACCCAGTGCTCATGCAGTTTACAGTCTTTCATTGGTAAGGTTGATGGAGAAATTCAAGTTCCTTACAATTTCCTCCCCTTCATCTTTTATTTTATAGCATTAGTGCAACATTAAAAGTGCTAAATCCAAATGCTGATGTGCTTTTCCTATTATGTTAATTTCATCAACTTATCTAGCTGAACTATTTGGCATACATGAGTAAAACTATATACAGTATGCTGCTTTCTTCCTTACACCTGAAGAACCCTTTGCAGTACCAAAGCTTGTCTAATTTTATCCCAACTATACCGTTGGTCCAATAAAAGATATGTCCACCCCCCCCCCCCCCCACAAAAAAAACACCAAAGCAAAACACTCCTTTA